CGTGGCGCGGCGGCGGGACTCCAGCGTGGGGTGCGCGGCGTGGCTCGTACCGCGACGGCGAGGATGGCGGCCATCCTCGGCCGGGGCGTGGAGGTCGGGCCTTGGCTCGGGTCGCACGGGTGAAGGGGTACCGCACGTGTAAAGGACGCCTACAGTTCAGAGCAGGCCGAGCCCGGCTCACGGAGGAGCGCCGGGCCACGGCGGCGGAGTGGGGTAAGTCGGGTGGGCGTCCCCGAGCGCGCGGCCGGGGCAGGTGGGACGCGATGCAGCCACCCTGGGGACCGCTCTGCGTCAAACCCGCGGGAGACTTTCGAGATCCTTTGGAGAGTCGTGGGGCGCCCCGGGCGAGAGGAGCCCAGCCTCCCGAAACTTTGAGAAACTTTAGGAATAATTGACCTTCCTTTTAGGTTTTTGAAAAATTGGGCGGAGCCCCTGTTCTCCTTGATGGATGACCAAGGGTGGGTCCTGGTGGTTTTCAGAGAGGAGATGTGCTCTTGGGTTGGGGGAAGCAAGGCTACCTCAAAATAGGAGGAATCCTGGGACCAATTTGGCAGCAGCCCCAACTGCAGGCAGTGGCGTCAAGTGTCCTTGAGCGTTAGTCATCTTGGGATTGGAATGGAGCGAGGTGGGCTCACCTACTTTAAGAAACTTATTTTTAAAGTTTAAACCTTTGTTTCTTTTTCCTTCTTAAAGAAATACTCGAGTTATTAGTGGCATGATCACACTTCCCTGTCAGTATGCATAGGACGGTATGCATGCAAATGTCTGTTTGGAAGAGTGGAAAATCACTTATCTGCATTCTACAGTGATCCTTTAATTGAGAGACTTGTGACAGTACATTGCAGTGACCGGGCAGCTCTCTGCCTACTCCACACACGGGTGAACAAAATTCATTCTCCTGGGCAGAGCTCTCGATTCTGAATATTTGTTACTGGATATTGAGCTCTCGGTTCCTGAATGTTTAGAAGTGTAGTTTTCGTTGTATCAAGAGGCCTCCAAAATACGTCATTTTTAATGGTTGTATACAAACAGCCAGGAAGTGAGTTATGCACTGGCTTTCCCCGAAAATTCAAAACTATGGCCACTTGTAATACATACTTCACTGCTGCCCATCTGTGTTTCTGTGAAATATATTGCAAAACAAACATGAATAGATTGAATGAAGAAAGGAGGGATTTCTTTTCTAAATATCAGTGTGTTCAGAGTAAACATCAGCTAATTTGGCACAAATTCCACTGGCTCAGCAGTTTGGTTCCTGATGAGATAAGCATCAAATGAGAGTGATGCACTTAGCCCTTTAGTGTGAAGTAATTCACAAAACAGTCCTGTTTGCTAACCAGCATATTGCTGGAAGTGGTCTGTCTAAAAAATGTCAGGAAACAAAATTTCATTCCTTGCCAAAAAGAATTTTGATCAATTTCCTTGAATGGTACTTAATATTTTATTATTGTGTTAATTTTTCGCAATTTAAATGGCGTACATAGTGGGTTTGAAGCTTAGTTATGAAATTTTTATGGCCATTGTCGACTGCCTGGTGCACGTAGAGAACTGGGAGAATTTCAGATGATGCCATTACTTGCACACCCAACAGGAAGAATAGATATCTTTAGAATCTTATTTCAGCATTTCACACAGTCCTCCAATACAGTAATAAACACATAGCATTTGTAATGAACTGCCATGATATGACATTCCAAAACACTGAAGGCCTTTGGGAAGCCTTTCACTTCTGCAGAAAGCCCGGTCTAGGATCTGGGTCTGAAGAAACTCAGCCAATCACAGCTAGCAGCTTGACTCATTCTGTTCCTTGGGGGTGCCATTACTGTCCCCAGAACTATACAGTCAGGGTCTGTATTTTCATCCCTTTTCCTACATCTGCCTCTTCCATAGGCTACAAACAAATCTCCTGAGGTGGGGACCATACCCCTTTTATTTGAATATCCACAGAACATAGCTCAGTGTCACACACAAGAGAGGTTTCATGTTTATTAAAGAGAAAAAAATGGGGCTGGCGAGATGGCTCAGTGGTTAAGAACACTGGCTGTTCTTGCAGAAGACCCAGGTTAGAATCCCAGCACCCACATGGCAGCTAACAACTGTCTGTAACTCTAGTTCCAGGTGATCCAGTAGCCTCTTCTGTTCTCTGTGGGCATTGCACGACATGGGTGCACTTACCTACATGCAAGCAATACATACAAACACATAAAATTTTTTTAAAAAGAGAGAAAAAATGGGGCTAGAGAGATGGCTTAGTGATTAAGAGCACTGGCTGTTCTTTCAGAAGACCCAGGTTCCAGTCTCAGCACCTGCATGGCAACTAACTACTGTCTGTAACTCCAGTTCCATGGGATCTAACACCCTCTCTGTCCTCCTCAGGCACTGCACAACGTGGGTGCACTTAAACACATTGCATGCATAACACTTATACACACAAAATAAAAATAAATAAATTTTAAAAAGAGAGAGAAAATAGCCATTATTGTACAGGGAACTATCACAGCATATCTGTATCTACGAAAACAGTCTGTTTGCAATTTCAGTATAATGCTTCAAAGTAATAAAGGTTCATCTACATTTTCATTCTAACAGGTGAAAATTCTTGCTCATGGTAACTAGGTTAGTAATCTACAGCTTGCTTTTTAAAAAGTGTGCCATAACTCCAAAAGAATGACTTAGTAGAAACAATTGTTAAGAGTTGTTTGTGCTCTATTTTATTCTTCCATTTGAAAAATTAGTGGTTTGTTTAAACTATTTACACACTAGTGATACTACAAATCACCCAATTTTTCTTCAGGCCATAAATTGTCTCCATAAATTGTGACTCATCTATTCATGAAAAATCATTTCCTTTTAGCTTTAAAATGAGTCTTTTAGCCCAGCAGAGTGGCTCATACCTTCTAATCCCAGCACTTGGGTAACTGAGGTAGGAAGATTGCTGTGAGTTTGAGGCCAGCCTGGGCTACATTGAAAGTTCTAGGCCAGCCTTAGTTGAAAATAAATATCTTGACTGGCAGTTTGTGTTGGTTATATAAGTAGAATAAGGTTATAGGGGTTTGCTCACTAAGAGTAAAAATACCAGCATTGCATTTGAAATGGTGTTTCCGATGATGTGATGAATGAAGTCATTAGATTGGCCTTTATTTTTAGGAATTTGGGGTGGGGTTGAGTCACAGCACGTGTGGAGATCAGAGAACAGTGTTGTGGAATTGGTTCTCTCCTTCCACCTTAGTGTGGTTTCCAGTGATTGAACTCAGGTGACCAGCCCTGCATGGTTTTACCACCGAGACAGCTCACCAGCCCCTAGGAACTTTTATGAAAACGGAAAATGCCCTTTTAGACCAACACTCTTAAGTGGAGGAGCAAAAGCTTAAAATGTACTATAGCCTGTGTTTCTAAACATACATGTTGAAGTGTGTAGAATGTGGCATGATGCCAAAGACAGCTGGTATAACCTGAACAGTCTGTCTGCTGCTTAACCCCTGAAGGCATGTAGAAAGGCAGTGTGATCAAGAGTTGCTATTGGGGCATTTCCTTGCTGGCCTCAGCACTATGAGCTGTGCATCCTTTGGTAAATCTCAGTACCCTCTCTGAGCCTCCATGTTCTGGTAAATAAGGAAGATAAACCAGACCACTTCGGAGGTTCTTTGTACCACAATGCTGATTCCATATTTCCTCTAGGGACAGTAAGACTCATGGTGTCATTTGAGTTTTTATAGGAAAATTACCTTTTAACTGTGATATGGGGTAAGAGCTAGAAAAAATTACTCAGACTGCCTGACTAGCATTTTAGCCATGTAAAGAACCTGTTTATGTCTGTAGTACATTAAAGCATTTCTATAACTTCTTTTATTGCAATAAATGCTTACCCAAAGTCACTCCTCAGAAAGTGGGATACTGGTGAGTTCCATTTCACTTGAAGGTAGTAACTTTTTCATTATTCAATTGTTGAAACAGGTTGGAATTGAAGTAAGTCCATTAAAAAGAACAAATCACTAAATGATTAAACATCATGTAGTAAAATGTTTGGTTAAGTGATAGTTCCAGTAGATTTCATAGGCCTTTTACAGAAGTCATTTAAAAGACTTGCAATGCCATCTAGTAACTGAGAGAAGAAATTAGAAGGCTGGCCAGGGGCCAAGGACCCATGTGCTACACATGGTCTTAGAGGCTGTCACCATTTTCTAGTCAGTTCAACTGAGACTTGACTACTTGCTTTTTTTTCTAGCTTAATGTTAGAACTCTGGAAATGGTGACTCAGTGCTGATTTCCAGGGAGAATATTTATTTTGTTCAAGTATCTCAAAAAGAAAGAATTCAGTTAAAAAATATTAGGTGTGTTGTTAATGTTGCCCTTCAATACAAACCATTGAAGACCTTTGTTTTTAAATGAATACATGTTTACATTACTTACACTTACAAATTAAAATCAGCTCCCATTGCAGCCTGGTGTGATGGTGTGCCTGTGGCCCCAGCTACTGGGGACGCTGAGACAGAGGCTTATACCAATATATGAGTTCAAAGCCAGGCTGAGCAGCATAGTAAGTCCTGGTTTAAAAAGTAAAGGATCAGTCAGTAAAGTGCTTGCCTTGTAAGCATGAGGATCTGAATTTAGTTCCTAGAACCTATGAGAAATGCCAGGCAGGAGGTCGGGGCAGTGGCTCCACAGGTTAAGAACATTTGCTATCCAAGCATGAGGACCTGAGCATAATTCCCCAGCGTCAACGTAAAAAGCCAGATGTAGTCATGAATGTGCCTGTAACCCCAACTCTGTGGGGGCAGAGACAGGAGTATCTCTGGGGCTGGCAGGCCAACAGCATATTTCCAGGTTCAGAGAGAATAAGGAATTCTCTGTAGGGAATAAGATGGCAAGTGATAAAACACCTGGCATCCTCCCCGGGCCTCCCGGCATCTACTGATGTATACATGCACCCATACACAAAAATGCATACAAATTATTTTTTTAAATGCCCAGCATGGTGGCACACTCTTTTACTCTGAGTGGTGGAGGCACAGAGACAGGAAGATCCCTGGGACTCGCTGGCCAGTCTAGCCTACTGGGTGAGCTTCAGACCAATGAGAGACCCTGTCTAAAAAGAGGTGAATGACATTCCTGAGGATGACAACTGAGCTTGTCCTCTGGCCTCCACTTACATATATACACACTCATTATGAAATAAGATTACAGGCAGTTCTCACTAGGCCTTTCAAGTACAA